ATATATATATACTAAATAAAAAGGTTAAATTTCAATGCATTGCATTAAAAATTTCGTCAAATTCAATATTTCGTTTTAACTCATGTAACGTTAAATAAAGGTCACGTGATTTTTCCAGAAGATAAACGTTTAATAATGGTTAGAGTTAAAGTTTTTTTCCCCACTATACTCGCCATGCATTTTTACAAATGTATCTTTGCTATTTCACGAGTCTATGATATGAAGCATAGATATGGAGAGATTCTAGACTCTGCGCAGCAAAACAAATCAAGAATCCAAAACTAAAGCTTGTCTAACGTTTTCAGGAAGGAAAAAAAAAATACTTTTTTAAAAAGATATAAAAACTGCAGACTTTTCCGAATCATTTTATAATAGATGGTGTTCTCAATATAAATGTAAACAATAACAATCTTGAGCTCTATACCTGCTCTGGTACCGGTTAGAAAGTTTGCAACTGCTTACTACAGCTTATTCTACGAGGCGATATTTTCAAACGGATAATTTTGTTTTCAATCAAAGAAGTAAATTAGATAATTTCTGAACTCAAATCTGCTGAATTTCATAAGATATTAATGTTATTAAGTAATTCGCTTTTTTGGCAGTCCTGATTTGGCCTCTTTTCATTTGTTTATTACTGTTTGTTCTTGTCGCAAGCTGTGCACCATCTTACGTTAGTGTTAGCACATTTAGCATTGTAAACACAAGTATTGTTAGCATTGTAAGCACAAGTAATAAGTTATCAAATAATGCCACGTTTGCAAGAATCTCAAAACACAATGATCACGTTGTCAGCCAAATAGCTTTAAAATACACCGGAAACAGTAACCCGGAATTATAGGCGGTATGGAGCTTGCAGCGTTCCCTTATGTAGAAAACACCATCCATAGGAAAGAAAAAAAATTTTAAAAAAGTATTTCCGTAAGAAAAGTATCTTAAAACTCGGTAAGAAAGTAGCTGATTTTTAAGATTTGTAGCGTTTGAAAAGTAATGAGTAGCCCAAAAAGTAGCGGATAGCCCAAATTTGATTTTGAGTAGCGGGGACTTTCAAAAGTAGCCCAATCCGCTACTTGTAGCCCAATCTGGCAACACTGTACCGAAGCGGGGGTGCCATCCCCTCCGCAGAGGATCAAAATTGCGATGGCATGTCTTCGGATCATCCTCCGGGATGTTTCCCAGACCGTCGCCAATAGCCCATTGTGCAGCTCTAGTGCGACGTAAATTAACAACATAAAACCCAATTTTAAGATTAGTATTGATAAAACGATATAAATTTCATCCAAATTAATTAATAAAATTTAATTTATTACGCATTTTCTAAATAATGAATGGTCTTTCGTCAATAATATGTTCACAATTCTATTTTATTTTATAACCGTCGTTGAACAACAGACCCAATTTTTCGGGTTTGCGACTACTAATGTTCAACTCCGTAGCCTTGAAATTATGAACTAAATCCATAAGACAAGATTTGCCCTCGTGGAGGACTTTTTGATGGAACTACAACTAACCCGCATTTGCTTTACACTTGCATGGAGAGGAGAACATATATTGGCGATCGCAACACTCGAATACGCCTTTTTATTTAATAAAAATATTTTTTAAAATTTCCATTCGACCGGAGTTCCACTGTTTATCCAAAATCTGATACTATTTAACTGCCTTTCGGTGTAATGGAAACTTGATTGCTGAACCTACACATTGATGTCCTTTAATTTTACAAATACGTATATCGGGAAATACTGCCAAATAGAGTAAATATCCGCTAATAATTATTTGTGAAAATTAAATAAAAATAATTAAAAGTACGTTCTGGATTGTTTCCGTCTCCACTCCATTCAACAGTTAGACATAGCAGAGAGGCCTCATCAAGGTAACTTTTCTTTCTGAATAGTTAAAAAAGATTTATTTTCTGTTACACAAAGCCAGCACATTGAGTGAGCTGATGTTTTGTTCCTTAATGAGTGACCTTGAAATCAACTATATCTGGTACATATGTTACCGTGAATGACCGAAATCAAGAGAATGTCGACTTTCATAGGTGAATGTCAACAATCACATAGTCGCTTCAATGAATGTTAGAAATATTTGCTACATCCGATTTGATATTAATTTATTATTATATTTATTCGATATTTTAATATCTGCTGAGTATAGATTAGGAGAAAGATCAGTGTTCGGAGTACCGGTTAAATGCTTACTGGGCACTTGACTTTAAAAAAAAACATTGATGTAGGGCATACCGGGCAGTGGCAAACCTAGTATATATTTCGGACATTTAGAAAAGCGACTACGTGATTATTAACATTCACCTGTGGAAGTCAACAGCCACCCATTTCGGTTATTCACGGTAACATATATGTATGTTACGGTGAAACACCGAAATCTGGAGAATGTCGACATTCACGTAGTCGCTTGGTGTATGTCCGAAATATTTGCTAAATACCCTTATTTCTGACTCTCACCGGTGAATGTCAACAATCACATAGTCGCTTTGGTGAATGTCCGAAATATTTGTTATATCCAATTTTATATTAATTTATTCGTTAATATTATTATATTTATTTGATATATTTATATTTATTCTATATTTTAATACTTACTGACGATAGATTAGAAGAAACATCAGTGTTTGGAGTATCGGGCAAATATATACCGGGCAATGGCACTTGACCTTAAAAAAACATCAGTGTAGGGTATACCGGGCAAATGTATACCGGGCAGTGGCACTTAACCTTAAAAAAACATCAGTGTAGGGGTAAAATATCGAATAAATGTAATTATATCCACGAATAAATTCATATCAAATCGAATGTAATAAATATTTCGGACATTCACCAAAGCATATCTGTGATTGTCGACATACACCGGTGAGGGTCCGAATGTACAAGAATGTAATGAAATATTCGATCTTTCACCGACGTATTTGGTGTTTGTCGACATTCACCGGTGAAAGTCGACAACCACCGATTTCGGTCTTTCGCCGTGACATATATATAACATACCACATAAATTAAAAAATACTTTTGGGAGTGACCAGATTTCTAAACCATGACCAATACCTCTTAGAAAAGAGAAGGCCTCAGCACAAGAAATTTGATCCTTTAGTAGCCCAAACGTTCGTATTTACCACCACAGAGCAGCTTAGTGACATCTTTCTTAGTTGTCACCCACTGCACAGTTTATGTTCGTTGCATAGTGCTACTATATTGAGCCGTGCTGAAGCCTTCTTTATTTCTAGAAGGTGATGTTTGATCTCGAAAAATGAGGACATTCATATATATTTATGGAAAATATTAATTAATATATGTGTATCAAAGAATTTTTTTTAATGAACAACTAATACATATTTGATGCAAAACGATTTGCATTACTTGGATTTCATTGCTAATAAATTTTGAACTATCATATGATATTTTACATTTATGTAGCATAAATGACTCCATATTCANTTTTTTTTTTGAAATTATGCTCAGACAAGTATTCATGAGTTAGTTTTATGATGGTGCCTTATCTGCTTTTCACTCTCTGTTAGACAAAAATTATCTTGTTTAAGACTAAGCTATCCAAATTTACGTTAAAAAGTTAAACTTGTTATTACAATTATGATCAATTCTATTATTATTATTACTCTATTATTATTTATTAACTCTTATAACTTGTCTACAAAGCTTTAATCATTGCATATATCACTCTACCACCTTGCCTTTACGAAGAATTTGTCCTTAATACACAATGATAAGATAATATACGATACTCATTCATATTTTGCTTAAAATACGTTTGTTATTGCATAAAATACCCAAATAAAGTACATGATAACTCTCATATTTCGTAATAATTCGCCAATAATTCCAAAGTATTGAGTACATATTAATTCTCCTATAGCTTAAAAAAGCATTTTTCATTGTGCTGGCATTAACAGTAAGATATATTATTCTATTTGGCAGAACATTTGTAATCCCATTTGATTCGTCAGTGTCATCCGGGGTAAATCTTTCAGGAAATTCCGGACAACCGTCTTAAGACGGAACATCAACCGTTTCCATTTATATTACTTCCCACACTAAAATTCCGTATAAATACGGTCACCCTCTCATCTTTACTGACTCTTCTGCTCTCTCTCTTTTGTAGAAACATGTTACTCAATATCATATTACTTATAATTTTTTTTCTTCACTCATCTCATCATTGTTGTGGTAAAGTATTATTGTTATTATGTGACTCGCGAATCTTTTATAATTCCAGAAACATATATTTTAGGGGTCTTAAAATCGACTTCGGTGAAGTGATTTACGGTGAGTCTTAAAATCGACTTTATCCCCGAACGTAAACATTTTGATGAGTCAGTTCCAGAGAGATGTTTGAAAAATAATTTTTTCGCATTGGTTTAGCATTAGCTATTATTATACATTGAACTATGAACGATTTTGTGGATTTTATTATTCGAAAAACCACTGACCTCTGTTTTCTTTAAGAAATTTGAACAGTTTTTAAGATAATAAACTTATATAAAATGAAACTAATATCTGGAGTGTGAATTGAGACTAGATCATTTCGATTCTTATAAGTAACGCTCTTTCATTTTACTGAAGACCATAGAAATTTTTTATTTAATTTTTTTATAATTATTTGCTTTATTCAATTTTACACATTGAAAACAAAACAAACGAGGACATTTTGTTTTTAAAACATCTTATTTCGACGATAACCTTTTTGGTTGATAACGAGGTTTTAAATAATAGCAGAAAATGCTTTTTTTTTTTACTGAGAAATTTGTCACTTGAACGAAAGTAAACTCCTAAATACGAGAATAAGTGCTTTTGTAAAAAAAAAAATTATTCTATTTTAATTAATATATAAAATTAATTGATAATTATTTCATAAAAGTAATAATAAGCTTTAATTTTAGTAATTTTACCTCTTTTAAGGAATTATTTATATCTTCTTCAGAGTCATTCCTAAAAGCTTGATCGGAATAAAAAGTTTAAATCAACTAAGTTGGTTATACTCAAAGAAAAAAAATAATCTAACGAAATAAAAAAAAAATATATAAAAAATAATGAATTTAGCAAATTTAATTTAACTTCCTCAGACTCGAACTTTAAATAATGACGAAAAATTTTTATTACTTAGAAACTCACAAATTATTAGTATTTTTACTTAGAAACTCACAAATTCGATAAAATATTTTTGTAAAATTTCAATTCACTAAACTTAATTTACTTTCTTATTTGCGCTTATTTATTGCATAAAATAATCACAAATTTTAGTATTTTTGATTTAGTGTAAGATATTTTTTCACATTTTGGTTATCCTGTTAGGTATTTTTGAATTATAAAACAGATATTAAAAACCCCAACTCACCAGGGTAAGTGCAATTACAGTCTGTGAAGTTCGTAAAATATTAGTATTTAGGAGAGGAGAGGAAAATTGTATTCGATGTTGTTCATTCTTGGCCAAAGAAGAATTCATATGAAAGATATTCCGCGTTCACTCCATTTAGTTTTAAAAACATTTCAAATGATGAACAAATAAACAAAATTATGAATAGTAGGCTTCTAAAAGGAATTTTTCTATCGATACACTTTAAAAAAGAAGTTTTACTTTTCCTTTCCCGAAAAATGGTGTCAACTACAGTCGGACCCAGCAATAAGTACACTGTAAACGGTGATTCTCCTTATGCAATATCTATAACAAATATTTTTCAACAAATTGCAGTAGTGTTAAAAAATAGTAACTACACTAGTACATGATCTGCTTAATATTTATTAAATAACTAAATATGTAGATACTCTCTACCAAGATGCATATCTTTCTTACAACAAACATTTCTTATTGCGACATTTTAATTCAAAATGTTAACTGAGATTCTAAACATTCTCCTTTTTACGGAGTGGTTGTCTTCCTATATTGAACTGTTTACACCTTTATCTTTTTAAATTCCTTTATCTTTTTAATTTCCGTCTTTATCTTTTTAACTTCCGTTTGAATTCTGTGTTACGTCGCTCTCTCCCCATATGTGTCACTTTCTCACATTATTCATTTCAGCGAAATGATTCATTTTAAACATTCCTTTGACTTATCATTTTTAATTGAAAGTCAAAATATACTTTGGAATTTAAATGCATGCAAAAAGGAATTCACTCTAAGCAAACTGGAAATTTCTGTGCCGTTTTTATAGAAGGATGAAGTAACATTAGTTAAATAACAATTCGATCGGGATTCATAAAAATGTTCACTATAACCGAGTTTTTACTGTATCTCGAGTGCGTTATTCCGGGGTTAGAGTGTACAGCATACACTAAAGATGTTCCTTTATACCACTTCGTGTAAAGAGCCGCCATCTTGTTTTGTTATTCAGTGTCACTAAAATTTCTAATTAAGATTAGAGAAATTATTAATTACAGTTGATACACACAAGAGTCAGAATAATTATTTTTACGATACAATATTAAGTAAGAATCTTTAACTTATACAATATTTTATAAAATTAAATTAGTTTGTTAATACGCACAGCTCAGGAGAATACTTATCTGAATTCGAGTTAAAAAAAAATTGAAGCGGATAGATTTGTTGTGCTCACCAGCCCCGATGATTGCTTCGCAATCATTTTTGTTTCTTGTGGCAGAAAACAGTTTGTCTACTGAAGTTAAAATTATTCACCTAACATCTATGTATACTAAAAGGAATTCACAGTTTCCTTACGCTTGTGCCTCCACCTCCAAATATCATTATCTATTAGAGATATATAAATATTTAGATCTATTGGTAAACAGAAGTAATCACTTTTTAAAGTAACATTTGTAAAGTTATTACATTATATTGTTGAAACAAATTTGATGAATTCACAACCGTAATTTCATATTTTCGCTTACCGAACGGGTGGATACACTAAATACTATTTTTGCTCTGCATCTCATTGTGCATAAAGCTGATCGTTACGTTCTAAATCATTTAACTTAGCTCTTTAACTGTAATTTATAACAGTATATTGTTATTATTATAACAGTATATTGTTATTTGCACAAAAATAATAATTGTGAAATGGTTAATGAAATTAGACCACCTTTCTAAATAACTTTATCTTAAAATACAGAGTAGAATTACAGTATAATAATAGTAATACTAAAATAACAACTCTCTTAGTTTTAAACTCTTGAATTAAAAGCGCAATAATAGCAGTACAGGAAAATAACTTTAAATTAGGCATGCTAAAATATTTATAGAAAAACAATACCTTTATGACTTTAATTATATTTATGCTGATGATAACTGAAACAAAATGGAATTGAATGAGGAAAAACTGAATCCTACCGGGTGATTTTCCGGCATTCTACTGTTGTCATCTGACGGTTTCCAAAAGTATGCCAAAATTGGCAAAAATAAATGACTGTAAATTTTTTCAATTATTGGTGCTTAATGTTAAATTACACCCTTTAAAGTGTGATTAACTTAACATAACACACGATTTTTTTTCATCACCAAAATTCGCTATGTATTACACCATAGAGTATCATAATCTTTTCGTAATGCACATTTTCGTTTGACGGTATGATCTTAACATACAGATGTTATTACGGTGCTATATATTGCGTTTAGTGGTCGGAAAGACTAAATTATTTTTGCAGTTTACTACGACTACGAGCCGTGGTGGGGATAGAGCATTCCAGTGAGGTGAACCGGATTTGAATTCCAGCCATAGCTGGTCTATACGCATCCTGCTTGCACCGACTACAGTGCCGACGTAAAATATCCGCAGTGGTAGACGGATCATGGGTTAAGAGTCCCCTTTCTGCCAGGCTAAGGGTGGTAGATTTTCGTTGGTTTTCCCCTCCGTGTAACGCAAATGTCAGGTTAGTTCCATCAAAAAATTGTCCACGAAAGCGAATTTCTCTAAATACTTGATCCAGGAGTTCCCTTGTCTTCTAGATTGGGTAGAATTGGGTGACGTACCTCCTGAGCATCACTTTGCTACAGGATGCATTGGATCTTAGTAAACAGGATGATTCATGAGTATGTTACTTACCCTTTAAGTTCTGGTATAACGTACAAGCACCGAGCAGTTAACCGCGTTCGTTACGTATTTGAATAGTTTCACTTCGTTCTTTGACTATACCTCGAGTGATACCAAATTCTGTTTCATCTGCAGAAGTGATTCAAAGTTAAGAGAAAAGTAAGTTCTAATAAACCGAGATTAAACCAGAAAGTCTCATTTGCAGCAGATAAGAATTTTTAGGACTGGGATAGCCAGGTTGGCAAGGCGCTGGACCCACGTTTATGAGAACGGTTGTTTGAATCCAGCCGGTACGGGTGTGACGTATGGATGTGGCAGAAGTCAATTCTTGGCCACAGATGGTGCCACTGGAAAATAAGAGAAATCGCACCCCTCTGCCATAATGACCGACGCCAACAACAACAACGAAAGATTTTTTTCTTCAAAGCATCAAAATGGAAGCAAATTATGGGAAGATTACGCAGTGGGTAAGTTATCCTACAATAATTTGTTCTGAGCCATCTTAGTTCAAGGGATAGAGCACTCGTCTCCCAATGGGAATCCCAGTGATGGCTGATAAAAACGAATTCCGCACCTGGCTCACACCGATCACAGTACGAAAGTAAAATATTCTCACTGATCTTGGGCTAAAGTCCCCTTGCGTTGAGGCTAACCGTGGGAGGTTTTCGTTGGACTAAATTTGAAAATAATAAATTCGAAGCGGATTTAATTTAAAATATTTTGAATGTGTTGATAAACATATTGTTACTGGTAATTTACATATTATAGAAAGCTTAGAACTAAGAAATTTAATGTTTAAAGGCACAAAACTTAGACCTATTTACCATTCATCAATTAATAATATTCTAAAATACTTTCTTAATAATCTCCATAATTTCTGCTTAAAGATATTAAATAGACTCTCTTTACCTTTAGGTATGTTAAACGAATGGAAATGGGTTGTTCAATATTACTTTAAAAACTTTGTTTTCAATAATAAAGAAAATTTAAATAACGGTAATTATTCAATAATTTTTTCTAAATTTGACCGATCAATTAAGCAACTACAAAAAAAAAAATATANAAAAAAAAAAAAAAAAAAAAAAAAAAAAAAAAAAAAAAACACCAATTTGTAATTACCTTCCATAGACAAGGCTAATAATAAATAATCTTCTGTAAGAAGTTCTATATTGAATTTTTAAA